GGCCTTCTCGGGTTTAGGGTTTAGGGTTTAGGGGGGTTAGGTTTAGGGTTTAGCGCACCTTCACATGTTGGTAAACCAGCCTCTGTCACGTATCCAACGAAAGACCCCAAATGGCTGGGTTCCCGGCAAAATGCCATTTTGGTGACCCCAAAGCAAGGATTGTTTAGAGTATGTAGGGATCCATATTAGAGTCCCCTTTTGTGGAAACTACCAAATGGCAGTTGGCTTACGTTGCTGCTCCGAAAATCCTGGCATCAAGGTAAGGAACCATACAGTACAACCTTGCTAGGACATTCCAACATAACCACATTTAAGGTCTATCTCTACAAAGGTTGTACAAAAACTTCCGGGAGCATTTCGCAACAGTAGAGTCCTTCTAGACAATGTAGTTAGTTTTTACAGGGATCTCCCAAAATAAAGGTCAGCTGCAGCCCAGGAACTTCACGTAGCCCCAAAGAGCCACAAGGACTGGCTGTGTCCTGCGGCCGGGTGGTTTATGGCTCGTGGGGCTGGATTTTGAAGTTTAGGGTTTAGGGCTTAGAAAGGCTAACCTGGGACTTGGCCAAAAACACCCTTCCCAGAATAGGGAGGATTCATCCCCGCTGTAGGGACCCGTATTAAAATGAATTCCCATTTGAAGACCCACCCACACCGTGGCATGTCCGTCCTTCAGCTCCTCTACATTCGTCGAAGCAGTAAGGAACTGCTACTACACAGGAAAGAGCCGCAAGTGCGGAACGAACAACTGATTTTAAACACAGTGCCAACAGCAAAGACAGCAATGCGGAAGGTGCTTGATGTAGGAAATGGACATGGAGGAAAGGATGCCTTCAGTAGCCCCTTCATAATTCACAAGAACAATGCCTATGCCCCATTTCTCCATTTCCTACTGACCACCATCAAGGCTAAACTCAGCAGAAACTCTTTTTCAAGACGCCGGATCACTTCGCCAGGACGACTTCTGCTTCTCATTCTCCTTCAGCCAACTTGGGTAGGTGCTAATCCCCTCTCCATAACAATGTAGAAACTCTGACCCTAAACTCTCTTTTCCATTATCCCATTATAA